CGCATGCTTACGAAATAACCACTATATCTCGCTTTATAGAATGTGGCCTAGTTCGGGATGGGGGGGGGGAGAGGAGGTGGGGGAGAGAGGAACCATTTTGCACTGTTGCTACTACCCATCGTCGTGTTCATTGTTTTACAAGAGTTGACAGGTATTCTTTACAGGAGCTGACAAGCACAAACTACAAACTTTGACGGTGTCACTTCACTTTGCTTCACAGCGTTTCTCAGGTCTCTAGCTGACGACAATGGGAACTAGAGGGAGGCTAAATGCACCTCTTACCCCCTTCCCCCCTAAGCCGAACTGCGCCAATCGCTTGAACAAATCCCTGTTCTTCAATTCTTCGTTGCGAAGGAATCGTAGTGCGAAAGGATTCGTGGAAGGCCAAAGTAATCGTACAGTTTAGTGACAATCAATCAGTAGGATACGTTTTGAATTTTGTCAAAGGAATATGAAGAAGGCCGGTTGGAGGATGAAAAATTCGGGCTGATACCACTGCTGGGATACCTAGAAGGGCTATTCCTGGGTTGGTCATTTAGGCGATGCACTGTCGCGATAAAACCACCTATAAAACAGGATCAGGGTATGCCTACATAGCTGTTGGGAAGAATCTGTACGGAGTACACCCCCTACCCCTCCTCAATGTTCTTTCTCTAGTACGACCCCTTTCCCCGTCACCCATCCTACCATGTTCCTCAATTTTCCCAGCTTCCTATCACTCCCCAGCGTTTTTGCAGAAATTCTTCAGTTCTTCATTAGAAAACCCTCGGGCAGGGGGAGGAGGAGGTTGTATAGCACACATGAAATGGGAAAAGCCAAGAAAAGTTAAAAGCCGAAAGTATCCGCCCCAAAAGCGAGCACCCGCACCCTTCGTGCAACGACCAAACACCCCCCCCCCCAATGGGGATCCCCAACTTACAAAATGCCCTGTTTGAAACCTCGACTCAGGATCCTCATCAGGTCACGTCCTGCCGCTGGGAAAAATCGGAAAATACCACCCCACTTACCCAATCCTACCTACCATACCTGCAACCTTCCATATTTTCTCAACTTTCCACCAGTTTTTTCCCCTATTTCCCTAAAAAACCGCGAAAAGTCACAACAGGGAAGAACGTTTTCTACGCCGCGAATTTCTCTTAAATAAATACAATCTCCCTAGCGTCGGTGAAGCAAGAAAAATCAAGTTCGAAAGAAATTTTTTTCTCGGACTAAAAACGATTCCCTCCTCCCCGGAGACCAACTATGACCCCCCCCCCTGAGGTTTCTTCTACATACGGAGGGGTCTGATCCTTACACATCCACACACAATCCCTACATTGCACTCACTGTAAGGCGTTTTCAGTTAACGTTCCAGCCAAACTCGTTCTTATGCGCTTAACACTCACAGCATGAAAAGACCTGGAGGGTTTTGCGCTGGCTTTCAGATGTTTAGCCTTCTATCTGCCAACAGCGTTCAAAAACCAATAGAATAGGGTACGAAAATAGGTAATGTCCCCCCAGCCAGAATTTTTCGTGTTGTTCATGTAGTGCAGAGCCGAAACTTGGATCGGTTCAGAGGTTGTGAATTCAGGTAGTGAAAAGTGACTTGAGTGCTGGTCATGCCGTCCTCGTGTGGGATCGCTGAGGAGGCTTTTGGGGAGGAAGGCCCTTCGCTCGCTGAAAATCCCCAGCGAAGGGCCGTATTTGATAGCTGGAGTGAGCACTAGCATTAGACTTTGAGAAAAAGTTTATCGTTTGTTGACTTTTTTGGCTTTTCCTGTTTCATATGAGCCATATACCGGGCCCACCTTCCATTCAGGGCATATCGTTGTTGGGGATTACCCCCAGAAAGGGTCGCATTTGGTCGCTGAGAGAGGGGGTCGTAATTGGGCTGAGAAAAATACTTTTTGATAATTGAATTTTCTTGTTTTAGAGAAGTTATAAAAGAGGGGGGGGTTGTACTTTCCCCTCTGAGCTTCGAGAGGTTGCTGACTTTTCATGGTTTTTATGGTTTTTCCTGTTTCATGAGTACTATACTCCTCCCCCCCCCCTCTCCCCAGCTCGACAGCAAAATTTTTGGGTAAACGTAGGGCCGGAAGAAGTGGTAGGAAGTTGGGGTTGGGGGAAATCTAGGAAAGAAAAGGTAGAGAGAGGGATCGTGTTGCCCATCCTGCGCGACAGCCCGATGAGGATGAAACCGGGCGAGGGTGGGGGGAGGGGGTCGTACAACCCCTCAAAAAAGGGAAAGGGTCATACGGACTCGACCGAAATCCCCAACTAATGATATGCCCTGCTTCCATTCCCACAGTTTACTAGGGGAAAAAGAGGAAAGATTTCGGAAAAAATCCGAGGAAATGGTGGTAAGTTAACAAAAATGAGGATAACAAAACTTGAGGGTGGCTAAGATAGAGAAGGAGGGCCGTACCAGAGGAGGAAGGTTCGAGGTCGTACTTTGCAAAATTTTTCCTCAGCGGCAGACGTGCCCTGATTCCACAAAACGTTGCGCCAGCAGTTGGCTGGCTCTTAAAAGTTGTACTAGTACTTGGGCTGCTTCTATAAGACCTGTCGTGCCCTACTCTGTCATACGGAAGTAATACACCATAAGGTCAGTCTACTTTCGGGGAGTTGTAAACAACCAAGGAACTCGCAATAAAAAGCTGCTCAACTGGGTAATTACTGTGGAGAAAAGCGAGTTATTCCTTGTCCCTCTATGTAACTCCTTGTTCTTTTGTATCGCTTTATCCTGCAAAACGGCGACGTTCCCCCATAGCGCTTCGCTACGCCGCAACAGGGGGCCGATTCAGTCAGTCTGTTATCCCCGTCGGGGGTGAAACACACTGCCTTCGCTAAATCATGTCGCGAATCGTGTGCGTCCCAAAAAGCGGACGAGCGTCTCTAATTTGATTATAGGAGCGAGCGGAAACGGTCGCGAATGGTCGTACCGACAGGTTCTCGCGCCGGAAATGGTGTGATGGTGGCGCTGGCGCCCTCTACCCCTTTCCCGCTCTCCCTACACAACCCAAACCCCCCTCGACGGCGCCTAACGAATCTACTGTGTGGCGCCTGAGGACTTGTCGGGTGATTCGCGTGTACACCAGGTGATTACTAGTGAGTAAAGATCAGGTACTGTAGGGCACTAATGATTGATTACAGTTGTTCCAATCTAAAAAGTTGTTTTGGCGCCAAATTGAATAGTTGGAAAAAAATGTGCCGTTGCAATGAATAGGATAGGTTCCACTCTCCACTCATCGAGTTTTTGAACCCTTATCGATTTAAAATGATTTTCACTGCTGAAAAAATACTTCGAGAATTCGACGATTGCAGCGATGGGTAATTGCAAACGAAAGAAAACAATATAAAAAGCATTTGAAAATATTTCCAAAGAGGTTTTAAATATTTCCCTAGAGAGAGGAAAATCGTCCATAAACAGAATCTCCCCGGTAAAGATGGAATCGAAAGGAGCTGTACAATTGACTTTCAGGAATTATTTGAAAATCTTACCTGTACAGTATTGTTGACACTCATCAGAGTTTTCGAGTGTAATTCGACTTCCGCCACTTCCTTCAATTTTAACATTTTTCATTTTCGCTCCCACACCTGCAACTATAAAGTGGTGATTATTTGAAAAAGATATTTTATGGGAGGATTCCTCAGTGTGGATATTTTTGTTCCGTTCAAATAGCTCGGAGTAGGCAGTCATTACCAGCGAGCGCTAGGTAGTTATTACCAGTATTGGCTAGATATTTCTGTCTTTAATGAGACGTTTATGCGTTGAACTCGCAAACATCAACATGCGAAACGGGTAAATTAAGAGGGTAATTGAATGAGTTTCGGGGAGAAGTGGCACACGTGAATGACGTGTGAGTTACGGCGAGCTGTATCAGCGGCTTGACGACTAAGCCATCTACGAAACAGATAAGGTGAGAATTCTTGGAATGCGAGTTTATGGCTGTGCTGACGCGGAACTTTGAGGTGAGGGGGGGGGTAAAGGGTGAAGATGAAACATTCTGACCTCCGTTAGCATTTGCTCGAATGCCACTAATCATCATATCTTCTTGTTCAGAATAGTTGATCGATGACTTCATAAAACACCTGAAATACTTACAAGTAAAACTCTCTATAAACCGCGTGGGTTATGTTCCCCGCTATAAGTGTGTGATCGACCTCTGTCAAGGTTACCAAGAGCCAAATGTTTTTGAGAAATTAAAATCTCATCGGCGGAAAACATCCGTTCATGGCAAAAATGCCAAAAATTCTTGGAAACGGTAGAAAAAAGAAAGGTTTCGAATATAACGCAATAGTACACAAACCTTTTTAGCGCTTTTGAATAGGTATAGCCAGCACAACAGGGTTGACTAGCGCATTGTATACAACATTGAGTAATATCACTGGCATCGAATTCATCATATGTACCGCCTTTTAAATTAATATTCGGCAAATAGAAACATGTGGAGGCTGAAATACGGTAGATGCGAAATGTGGTATAAATATGTATAATATACTAATAGGGGAATACTGTTTTAAACCATGAAATTGTAAGGAATAATTGATCAGAAATCGAAAACGAAAGTAAAACGGTCACTAAACAGAAAAAATCAATTACTCTCAATACAATTACATTTACAGTAACTAACAACAGCGTGTTTTCGATAATATGACGAAAATTCGATTATGTAATGTCTGTCAAAGTATTTTTGGACGCTAAATTGACATTCGTTCGAATTGGAAAACTACAGTATAACGATCATCACTAATTTTTTCAGGTAAAGGCGTAAAACTACTGAAAGCGTAAAACTGTAGAATTTCTTAAAAAATAAACTTATACTCACAAATCGCCCTGGAACTCGGTAGTAGGCCGAGTAAGAAGAGTAATACGATCATTTTTTGCCCTGAAAAAAGAAAAGGCATAAGTCTCAAGAATGTAATAGCCATATTACAAAGTACAGCGGTATCGAGTTATGGCGATAAAGCAGTTCATAAGGAGTAGAAATCAAATCCGGCTGTTGTAAGTACGATTGAGTATGGAAAGGAGTGGGCGGAGCTGAGCACTGATCGCTGCAACAACTAGACACCGGTCGACGACGATACGTAGTAAACGAGGATGTGAAGATGGTGGGGTGACACGATTGGGTGGTCTACGAGGGGTGTGGGAGGGGATAGAGGTTGAGGGGGCGGGTTCTTTTCGTCATTCTCTCGCGCGACTACACCAAAGCGCATATTAGTAGACGACATCAATTACTATATAGACATAGTAGAAAAGTCCTCAAAATGTAATACAGTAAACATCACAAGTTGTTGCTCCTCCCATGTTTTCCGGACCGCAAAAAGTGGTGAGAGCCTGAAAACAGGATGATCAACGTGATGAGCCGTCTTGTTGGTCTCAGCAGAAGCCTAATGAAGCACGTAGCTTAGTGAAGCAGCAGAAAGGACACAGAAGTTGTAATACCGCAGAAAACTCTAAAAAGTAGTAAAGATGTGTCTACTGGTGCTGCTTAATTGTATTTTATTTCTTTCATTTCTTTCTCTTTAGTTACTTTGATTAGCAGTCCCTCAGGTTTGGCTGACACTGTGACAGGGTACAGCATCGTGATGTGCGAAAGATAGTGAGACCAGTACGACCCCCCCCCCTCTCAGTACGACGCTTCTTTCCACCCAGCGACTTGCCACCTTGCCTGAATGTTTTCCCAACCTTCCTAACAAGTTTTCATCAACGGAATTTGCTACTTTCTCCTCAAAAAATTTTTATGGAGCAGAGAGGGAGGACACCTACAACAACAACGACGGGGGAGAAGTTTTCCCACGCGGCAAATTTCTTTCAAAGGCACACAGGACGCCCACCCTCTCCCAACAACGACCAAATACGACCCGACCCCCCCCCGTTCTTCACAGCAACCAAGTACGACCCCTCATGTGTTTCACACAACGATGCTGTACCTACATACACTGTGACGCTACCGAAGCAGCGTTGTGAAATACACACCGGGAAAGGGAGCGGGGTTGCACATCGCCTCAGTGCAAGAAACGATCTTCTGCCGGATCCTCTCTGGTACGATCCACCCCATACCTCATTCTACCCACCAATTCCCCTATTTTCCGCATAGGCTCTACTGATGTTTCGCCGATTTAAACATTTAGGTCTCCAAAAAACCAAAACTAGAGCCGGGGGGGGGTGATGCAGGGACGGTGAGGAAAACCTAGAATATAGCTCCAGTGAAAAGAAAAAACAAACAAGAAAAAAAACAAGAGAAGTAAACAGCCTAAGACATGTATCTCGCCATACAATTACAATCCTACTCTCGCTCCCTTCTACTGACAAAATGCGACTCCCGACTCCCTTGCTCGGAATCCTAAGGTCCAACGGGTTGATTTTCGTAGTTTAGGTGGATGTACCAAGGGAGCCTTTTTCGTTTGGGAGGTTTTTTTATCACAGCGATTTTGCACAGCATGTTGTAGGTATCCAGCCTTCTGACAGGAAAGTGAAGAAAAAGTTGTCGGAAAGCAAAGCGAAAAGAAACATTGACGAAATTCCGCATCGCTTTAATTTCTACTATTGGGTAGAACTCTTTGTGCGAATAAAACGTGTCTAGAAAAGGCCCAATAAGACCCGAACCATCAACTCCACTCTGCTATGACCAAGCTCTCCCACTGCCAACGAACGCCATCCACAGCACAGCTGGGTGAATTCGACCCATATGGGAACTCCCATCGAACAAGAATTATACAATGCGATAAAGTAGCGTAATTATCCTTATTTATTCGTTTGTTCGCTAGCAAATAGCGTGCACCTTATTAATTTTTTCACGAAACTGTATCCATTCGTTTTTGACATCCTGGAACCGCAGCGAAAATGAGTCTCGCTTTTTTTCTGTGCGTGGACATACAAATTATGCGAAAAATAGTCTTGAAAAGTGCTCGATAATTAACGATCCTCCCACACGTTTGCTCTGGAGCAGTACCGTAGGTTGCTTGCTAGATTACCAGGGAAAGAGTCGAAATTTCCGGAACTTCTCCTAAAATATTTTTGTGTGACTGATGCCAAACTCTTGGCCAGTAGTGTTTCGTACGATTCCTCTTGTTATGACTTTAGCTGAATAATCAATCTTTATTTTCGCCAGAAATTCTAAGTTTGAGGGAAATGGACAGACAGCAGTTCCCTTGTTACAAAAATATTGAAAAACGCCCGGAACGTTTCGAAACTCCTACTCGCTCAAAGAAGCTGAAAGATCTTTTGTTGCCTCCTCCATTTCCAATTCTTTTTATGTTTTCAGGATATAAACAGTTCAGCGATAAAAGCGCGACCGGAAGTGCTATATTGACTTTGAAATGCCAAATTTCTATTAAGATGTAATTCGGAATCTAGTTTCGTAAAGGGAACAATTAGTTTTCATTACGAATGGTCTCACGTGTTACTGGCTCCGGTCTTGAAGTTGGGGCTGAGTTGGAAGCTCGATCACTTCCTCGCCAACTTGATACAACGGCATTTTTGATCGAATGACCATTCCTCTACTTTCTTCCTCTCCTACCCGCCCTACAGACATCGGAGTGGGGAATAGGAGACGGGAGGGGAGGGGAAGAGGAGTATAGTATGTATCAGAGAATGAGATGAGAAAATATAAGATAGGTGGGTCGCATTGGGAAAAAAAATTTCCGTATTCTCAGGCTGTTTCCTAAGCGCACCTGTGTGTGCATGTATAAAGGCATATGCCGCGATCAATTGGTACTCGATCTAAAATGCTAGCAGGGTGCTATATAGTGGGGAAATGGCGAAAAACCGAAGTGAAACGTCAAAAATTCTCTCAAAAAAGCCCTTGTTCCACATTGCCACGAAATAGTTTCGGACGAGTTTCCCGCCGGCAGCTTACCAATAACCGCTACGTAGAGAGGGCTGCATGTATGTACCCATATATCCATGCAGCACCGCAGCCGCTTCATACCAATCCTTCGCTTCATATTTTACTTTGCAAATGAAGCAATACGAGCATCAGGTACGGTCGTCCATTTGTGGGCGGGCGGGCGCGGTGGGCGTCCGGGTCGGTATGTTGCAGCTTGATAGGGCCTTATAAGGGTACCTTCCTTGGAAAAAGGCGCTACGCAGCGCCTGCTCAGGCGCACGGAATTCTGCCAGGAGTAGTAATCCTACTCGTCTTAGGGATTTATCGTGCCAACTGCCTTCAATAAGAAAACAATTCAATAACTGGAAGAAGCTTCCTTTTACTCAGCTCTGCCTACAGTTCCCGCGGTGAAAGCACTTTGTATGAGAGTGGGGTTTTTTATCTGAAATTAGCAAGTTAATTGGTAAGAATAGAAGCGGGAAAAGATCCCTTCAAGGTCCCCGTGGGTTATTTTAGAGACAGCGGCATTTGCTGGAACGTAGCTACCAGTATCAAATTATCAACTCTATAGTACAGATTAACTTTTTGTTTCTCGTCCGCGCCAGAGAGACTGTAGCTTTTTGTTTCTCGTCCGCGCCAGAGAGACTGCTTGATGGAACTCTTTACTGGAGGCTTAACGTTTCGGCGACATCGCAGTCCACGCAGGGCACGTGCTGCTGCTGGGGAAAGTTTTCGAACTTACGACCCCCCACACTTAGACTCGTCCCTGCTACGAGCATCCTTCCCCTTCCTATCTACTATCTTGCCTCTCTTGCCAACCCAAATTTTCCAAACTTTCCACCACCGTAACTTCTTCGTTAAAATTTTGCCTTCGAGCGAGGGAAGTGGGTGCGGGTGGGAAAGGGGGCAATGTATGTAGCAGCAGTGAAACGGGGAAAAATCACAAAAACTCAACAACCGGATAAAAATTTTCCCACAAAAAGTTTTCTCAAAGACGAATACGAATACGATTCCCTTTCCCGACGATAAGAGAATATGACCTCCCCCTCTTCCCCATTGGAATTCTCAGGCGATGTGAATTGAGCCGTTGAAATAGGAGAAATCGGCCATCGAAAACAATGTCCTCTGACCAAATACCACCCCTCTCCTTCGCAACCAGATGCGACGAATCCCTCGCAGGGGATTCCCCTACGCAGGACGTGCCCTGAGTCCTCGAAGGCCCATAGTAACACCGTATTAGGGACAAGTCTCATTAGGAAAAGAGCTCCGTTACTTTCAGCACAGCCTGGGTAATGCGTAGGAGGTGATATCTAAATTGAAGGGTGTTCTTTGAAAGATGGTGAGAATTACTTCAAAAGTCAACAAAAATATCTATAAACTGTTTCGATGTACCGGAAGCAGAACAGTTTTCTATTGAGAATATGAACGACAAACCAGCTACGACCATGAAAACCCCATTTATTCTTAGCAATACTGGTAAACTTAAGTGCCATAGAACAGCTGTAAAACAAACTGGATAGTGCGATGTATGAGAAGTCCTTCGAAGATCGTAACCAGATGGGAAAACGGGGAAAACAGATGGAACTGAATTGAGGAGTAGGTTTCATCTCAGAATCGAGTAGAGTTCAAGTGGTGCCCCGATGATTTGATGATTCCTTATATTCAATTATAGTTTGCATAAATTGGCGTACGAGAAGGAGTAGCGGCTAATTAAGGAATCATAATTACGAATAGCTTTCTGAGAACTCCGTGGCACTTCCTGGATTGCAAAATGTCATAAAAAGTAGTAGTAACACTGGCGCGATTGCTGAGAGAGTACTGAGCGGTTACTTGTCCATAAGGTGTGTTTTACTGCTTCAGCGCCATTGCAGTAAGCGTCAAATTCAATATAGAGACTATTAGCTCATGAAGCGTAATATGTGAATGGATTGTGTGCAGAATTGTGCCGAGTTTTGAAAGAGTGAACGGTAAACAAATAAACAGCGTGTTAGCTATGCAGACGAACGACGACGATAACGTGAACAACGAAATCAGTTGCTAAGCCATATTTCTCCATACGTGCATAAACTATGGTCCATTTAAATTGCTGCAAATGACATTTTAGCAAAGAAAATCCTCTCTGATGAGAGAAAAACGTTTTTATTATTGTTTTCCTTGCGATAAAATAAGTCCATAATCTTCCGAAAAGCTCATGGAATGCGCCACCAAAGCGGCCTCGTTCTGCCTTATCAAACTGGCCGATAACACTGTTATTTGGGTTAATTGTCGGTAACCTCAAAGTAATGGGTCGCTCGTGAAAATTTCTCTTCAAGTTAGAAATTCAAGGGATTCCGTTGACAACATTCTCTAGCAGTCATCTAGTGATCAGGGCACGTAGCGCTGAAAATCCTCATCAGCATG